TTAGTTTTGACCTTACGTGCGAAATTAATCAATTAAAAGCAATAAGTCACTTTTAATTGTTTCTATATGATTAATCAAACAAGTCAATTTCCCTACGTTTGAATACCGCAGTAATAAAGAAAGTAGTAAATAACAAACATCAAAATGATAGCGGAGAAACCCTAACTGAGTAAAAATTTCAGGACCAAACAAGTTACCTCCACTATAGACAATACAAAGTGAGTTACGGTCACATGCTATGTAGCCAACTTCACTAGACTTCCTGATCTATTTCCTGCTAACTCCAAGATCTGTTCTAAGACCTGCTCCAAGATCTTCTGCAATTGTCTCTTCCCGACGGATTCCAAGAACCTGCTCCAAGGCCTTGTGCTCTTCCCACGCTTGTAGTCCAACATTTCTCAACCTCTGAAGTTCAATTGAGAAAGTACATATATATAACCAATAGGAAGTAGGTGGTGTTTCGGTTTAATGGGTTGGATGTTTTCCCAAACATGTGGTTATATAATCTCAAGAAGAAATGATGAACCACAATGAAAGAATATGTTCTTGGATCTTTAGAGAATAAGTTGAGGCAATGAAAATAATGAACACCACATTAGAGTTTCGTCCAATGGATTGGATATTTATAGGAGAGGGTAATTGGGTTGAATGAGTCGAAAAAATCTGTTTAAAAATGCAAATTAAGGTTTTTCGTATAAACCCGTCGCTCGAGCTAAATCTCGACGATAGGCGAACGACGACTTCTCGCTCAAGCGAGAGTCGGGCGACATGCGAATGACGAGGATTCTATTTTTGTCGCTAGAGCAGTGTATGGGCGATAGGCTAGCAAAAATGCGGCGCCTTGTTTCTCCTCTTTTATGCTCTAACCCCAGACCTCATACCTCAATTCATACAAATTGCACCCTACGTTCTTGACTTTTATAACACATTACAAATTAGTCATTTTGTCTACAGAATTGCCAACATTAAAAACCTAACAAACTCCACATTTGACATTCTATGACAAAACTACTCAATAAGTCAAGGAACTAAAAATAATAATAATATATGAAGTATGAACTACCCAAACTTCATCAAATTGCACGTCTCTTGCATTTCTTTTTAAATCTATTTCCTGAAATTCACAACTCAAATACCCAATGTAAAATCATGTAATACAGGGAATATAGCAATTAAACACATGACACCAAAACTAGCTAGATTGAGACGTAACACTATTGTTAAATCCAAACACCAACAAAAATATTAGCATCACAAAAGCATCAAAAAATCAAAACAGTCAAGCATTATGGTATGGAATGCAATAAAATCAGTTAATCTACCCCTAAATCAAAATTCAAAAACAAAAATTAAATTTTACTTTACTCTCCCCCTTTTACTAATTCAACAACAAAATTTTTTATCTCTCTCTCTCTCTCCCTCTTTTTGTCACAAAGGACGAAGGGATAAAAAAAACCTTTTAACATTAACATATAATCACTCCAAAATACAGTCGTTAGCATGCATTAGTATAATCAATGTACAGTAAACCTTCCCACATACTCAGTTCAAGTTAACATGAAGTAAATTGTACAAGTAATCCATGTGTGTAAACTGTAAAGTGTCACTAATCCTTTATAAGTAGGACTCCAAACTTTAATTTTGTGAGAAATGACGTGCTAAACATCACTGTCAATAAGTATATTCCTCTACTTATGAAAGCCAGAACACTTAAAATTCATTAGAACCTATAAAGAAAAACTCATTTTGCAAGGATAATTTATTTTCTCATCCAAACTTTTTGCATATATTTTGCATATATTTTTATTATTTTTTATGATTTTTTAAGCTCCATAAATTTTTTACATCTTAAGTACAGGTCATTTTCCATTCAGCGACTAAGATGACCCCTGTAACAAGTTTTAGGCCGATTAACCCAAATCAGTTGACCATAGGTACCAGGTTATGAGAAACCCTTCAAGCTTAATTGTTCGAGTCAAATAAGTTTCGAAAAAGAATATAAGATATTGAGCTTTAATTATTGGGGATAAACTCGAGCTTAGATCTAATAAATAAGATTCATTCATGTTCAAAGTCACCTTACTAACAAGTGATTGTCATCTCAAATCTCACCACGCAGTATAGTCCTACCTACAATATCATAGTGTGTGCAGTGTAGATGGTAAATGAAGATACATATACTAAGTACTCCATAATAACCTAAGCCAACAATGAAAACTACGTTACAGCTCATCGAGTAAATCAATGCTTGTTCACAACAAGCAATTTCAAATATATTACATATTATGTTGTAAAAATAATTTCCCGCATTTTTTATTTTTCAATTTTTAATTTTTTTGTTTTTATTTTAAAATATGAATGCATCATGCACAAAAAAAATGTCAAACAAAAAAAAAATGTATGAGTTTTCTACCTAGAAAACAAATAAAAAAATATGATGCATGTATAAATCAATGTTACATAATGACAAAGTACGAGCATGCACCAAAAATACATAATCAGTTATGTATGTAAATGCTCTTACCTTTAAGAGTACCGTGATCTATTTCAAAAATTTTCAAATCACAATTTTTCACCCAAATTTGCCTAGCTACAAGAATATTTTCGATCGTCTATGTCATTAACTTGGTCAATTTACTTACCTGATTAGTAAGGAAGTCAATATGATCAAAATAATTCTGATTCTTATTTCTATTTAAGTTTCTATTTCTATTGTTGTTTAATAAATGACGACACATAGGCCTTATGTGGCCTAACTCACTATAGTGAAAACATGTAGGGAGTAAACCTAAAACCAAATGCATGTAATCGCTTATATCTATTCCTAGGTTGGCGAGTTCTAGGCTGTCTAGTAGGCTTCTGTCCTACATATCTCTTATTATTAGGTTCATGGTTAGGCACATATTTAAACTGGTCAGTACCAGGGACAAATGTGGTCTTGAACGTACTAGCAATATTATGATCATTTTTATTATATCCTAGACCTCCCTTATTACCAGCAGGCTTATCCATTCCTAGAATATTATCTAACTTTATAGAACCTTTAGAAAAGATAAGAAGTTGAGACTTGGAATGCTCTAGGTCGGTCAGGAGATTTTTAACATAGATTTCTAAGGTTTCATTTTCAACTATCAGCTCATTTGCTCGTATAGAAGTCTTCTTAAGCTGTCTATTGAGATTCCTAACCTGAATATCTAAAGATTCATTTATGGAATTCAACTCCATCAGGGTAGAGGTAGATTCATGAATGTAGGCTACGAGTTTCTCGTTTTCCAACTCAAGTTCCGTAACTCTCGTACTTGAGACTTTATTTTTTGTTATAATCTTAATGTTCTCCTCATAGATTCTATCATAAGCCTCAAGAATATCTCCATCATTATCAGAATCTTCCTCGCCATCAGAATCTTCTTCTAAATTCTTACCACTACTTACATTCTCAGCCTTTTCACTTCCCTTATCAGATTCATTCATAATTCTAGCAGTAAAGACAATATATTTTTCACTTTCCTCAAGAGTAAATTTCTCACTCTGATTGTCCGTGTCAGACTCATCATCGTTAAGAGTAGCATTCATAGCCTTATCTGGATTTCTCCTACTGTTAGGGCACTCACTCCTAAAGTGGCCAAAACCTCTACAATTATGACACATCACAGTTTTAGAACTCTTCTTAGATCCACTAGGACCACTTCTATTCTTCTCTTGAGGTTTTTGTTTATTCCTAAATATTTTTCGAAATTTTTTAGCAATGTACGCTAACTCATCTTCATTAGGAGAATTTGAATCTGAGGACTCTCTATGACTATTCCTTACAGTATTTAAGGTCAATGACTTATCGTTTCTGGGTTTAGCTAATGTAAGTTCATAAGTCTGGAGAGATCCAGCCAACTCTTCAATCTTAATGGAATCTAAGTCCTTACTCTCCCTTATTATCGTGACTTTAGGTCTAAACTTTTCTGGTAGAAATCTAAAATTTTTTTCGACTATCTTAGGCTCCGGGATTCTCTTACCTAGGTTGAAGCTAGAATTTTTACTATGTCATTGAAGCTCACATAAAAATCATCAAAAGTTCCATCTTCCATCATCCGAATTTATTCAAACTTAGTGGTTA